TCAGGGTTAGCATATTAACAACGACCTTTCCCCTCCACCTACAAAGCGCATGCGCGCTTGGCACAGAACCTGTTGACACCTGTGACATTAGAACTTTTTACCGCGCGGCTTTGTTTATGTTTCGAACTTCAACTTTGTCATTTATTCGCCCATTCATGTTTATGTTACAATCTTTTTATACTTTATAGATGTAAATTTATTGATTAATGAAATTTACTGATTGTATTATGTATAAATTACTGACTATTGATATAAATTTAATAATTTTGTGTTTGCACTTTCTAACCTTTTTTTTTTTTTTTTTCTCTCTCTCTCTCCTACTAAAATGTCTGTATTTTGTGGTTTAAGTTACAGGTAGTATAAGTTCTCAGTCCAACATTAATTTTATTTCCTCTATGACTTTCTAGTTAAGCTGTCTTCAAGCCTTTTCCCCTCTTCTTTCCCCCTTTAACTGACTTCCCCTTCTTTTTATTTCTCTGATAACTTCGCTTCTATGTAACTTAGCGGCCTCAAACTCTTCTTTTCATCCCCTTGTTATCCTGTTATTCCCTTTTAATTTCTAAGTTTTCTCCTTAACTACATTAGATAGCGCCCTCTTTTCATTTTCCCCTCTTGACACTTTACCTTCTTTTTTTTTTTTTTTTTTTTCTTTTGCTGACCCCCTCTTTCTTTCCACTCCAACCCTCCTCACACCTTTTTTTTATATTTTAATTAATCCTTTTTTTTTCGAGCAATTTTTGCAACTATACACTTGTGTATTTTAGAATTTTTTTTTTTTTTTTTTTTTTTTTTTTCTTTTTACAGTTTCCTCTAGTGGAAACACCTCCACATTCTTCCTGTTGTAAACCCGCAACCTCTTTAAGGTCCAGGCTCTCCTATTACTACTCTTTCTGCACCTGCAATTCTCCTTCTGTTCACGTTTCAGCTATTCCTTACATTCTCCCCCATTTTTCATCACTCATCTCTTCTCTTTGCTATCTTTGACTTATTAACATTCTTCGGGCCTCTGGCATACCACTACAACCTCTCGGTTTACGTGTTTATCACTTAAATATATGTGTATACTTACAAAATATCATGTGTACTGCTATTTATTGTGCTTACTGAAACTTTTGTGCATTAATAATTAATTATTTCCATCACACATTTGCTGTGTTGTGTACTGTAACTCTCACTACGTGCTCAGTTTCAAGTTCTGCGCAAGTGATAATTTGTGTGCACTTTACATTGTAATTCTTCCTGCGGGCTCAATTTTAAGCACTGCTCAAGTGAACTACAGTTATGCAGTGGCTTTGTGATTTAGTGTATTCAGTGAATTAGAGACTCAGTGCCTTAATATAGAGATCTCAACAGCTTCCTAATATAAGACTTCAACAGCAGTGCTTTAATATAGAGATTACAGTGCCTTAAGATAGTTCCTTGTTATAGTGCCACAATTTAGTGCTCAGTATAGTGCCTCTAATTGCCATAATATAGAGATTTCTACAGCATTCAGTGAGATAGTCTACACAGTGAAATTAGAGACTTAGTGCATAATTTTAAAGATTCCAATAGCAATTAGTGAATCTGCGGAATAGCAGAATTTTTTTTTTTTTATCATTAGTGATTTCATACAATAGACTCAATGCAGTATGTCTGAAATGCGTACCTCCACACACTGCAGTGATCTAGATTTGCCAAATCACTTAGTTTCAACTGACTTCTCATATAGAGAAAAAATAAAAGCGGTCTTCGACGAGAGCGTACAAATAGCCAATACAGTTCGAGGTAATAAAAATATATTACCACGCCTCATAGCCACTCTAGAGATCTTTCGGGACATCGCATTACGTGGAACAGAGGTAGTCAACAAAGACGTGAACACTTCTGTAATCCCGCGCTGTACCACTGGCACTAACACCCCTTACCCTGAGGTGGTTACTTCAAGTACAAACACGGACTCCCTGCCAGTAACAGCAACTACGCAGGCTCCCAGGAACACCGGGGAAAGGCATAGCCACTTGAAGTCAGCGACAACACCATCAGCGATTGTGCCCCAGAAACCAACCTTTGCGGCAGTGCTTAAACAGTTCAGTAAACCCAGTCTGATCATCAACCCTTTAGGGAGTATCCATCCACGTGATCTAAGAACACAGTTACAGGAAAAGGTTCCACTTAGTGAGATCCCAGTTGTCGTCAACGCTATCAAACCGGCTCCAAAAGGCGGACTAGAAGTTTTTTGTAATACAAACGAGGAGGTACTCAAGTTACAGGAGCACATCAAAAAAGCTGAGGTCCAGGCAGAGGTTCGTCTCAGGCAAAAGAGGCAGCCGAGAATAGCCATCCATAATGTTCCAGAACATGTTAAACCAGAACAGCTCATCGCAGAGCTCAGCGCAACAGCAGGTCTATCAGCAAGAGTATACAAACCCCTGTTCCGACTTAAAGAGCGCCGAGCAAACAGAGTCAAATGGGTTCTCGAGTGTACCACGGAGAGCTTTGGAATCGCCATCAACATCAGACGTCTGTTCACAGCATGGCAGGCTCATACTATCACGGAGTTCTTGGGAATCCGTAGATGTTATAGATGCCAGCAATTCGGGCACTCCCAGGATCTCTGCCGCAGCAAGAAACAGTTCTGTGCCTTCTGCGCTGGGTCGCACAACACCAAAGTCTGTCAAGCAGAGTCACCAGCCTGTATCAATTGCGGGGACTGTAACTACCGCAACGGCACCTCCTACTACTTTGAACATCCGGCATACCACCCGGAATGCCCGATGTACCAGAGAGCCGTCTACAACACACGCTGCAACACACAATACTGAAGCTATAACATCTCAGCAGCCTACCAATGCTATGTTACTACCTAATGCGTCTGAAGATAGCAACACTATCTCACAAGAGATCCTACCGACAAATATCGACAACCCAGTCAACCTGATTCTAACTCATTCCTCAGCAGGCTCCATAAAATGCACGCAAATTAACCTCCAACGGGCAGAAGCAGCTAATACGCAACTAGTGCAGCATGTCCTCGATCATGAGATAGATATCATCCTTCTCCAAGAGCCTTACTGCAGAAACGGCGCAATAGCCTGCCTACCACTCTCATGGAAGATCTTCCAGCGGAAAGCGCAACTTAACGAACTACCCCCGAGAGCGGCGATCATTTGTTGTAATCCACAATGGTCCCCACTCATTATCAAGCAGGCACGAGATCATGTTGCAATTCTTCTGAATTATAATAACTCCCAGATTATCCTATCATCCGTCTACAGCTCTCCACCAGAAGACATCAGCAATGCAGTAGATAGTATAGCAGAAATACACAGAAAACATACTACCATTCCTCACGTAATAAGTGGAGACCTAAATGCGCACAACGTCATTTGGGGATACCCAGATACCTCACCGAAAGGAACAGCGTTAGAAGAATTTATAATGACAGCCAATCTACAGTTAATAAATACTCAGAATGCCCCACCGACGTTCGACAACTCATACAACAAAGGATGGCCTGATTTAACAATAGCTACAAGTAACATAGCCAACAATATAACAGATTGGAGGGTCACAGACGACGAGAGTTGCTCTGATCATAAATATATCCACTTTGCAATTAATACCGACACAAGCATCACTATCCTTAAGCGCTACAAGATCCCAGGCAATAAACTGCGTGCATTAACAAAGGCTTTCTCGGATACCCTACAGAGTGAAGAAGAAGTAATAGACCAAATAAATAGCCCAGAGGAATTAGACACTTATACAGATCATCTCCTCAATACATTGCGATGTATTTGCGACAAGCTCCTGAAGACTCGCACTGCTAAACGCATACAAGGCATATGCTGGTGGACTAAGGAACTACGCCAATTACGGCAAAAGTGCAGAGCCCTAAGACGGCGTCTCCGAGGTGTAATGGACGAAGCCACCAAAATGGCATTGCTGACCACATTCCGCAGGGAAAGGGCGCATTATAAAAAATGCATACTACGAGCCAAAGTCAATAGCTGGCGGAAATTTTGCACAGCTAATACCAACGTCTATGGAATCCTGCATAAACTAGCTACAAATAAAGTTTACAAGCCTGACCAGCTTTATGCCCAATCAGCCAATAACTCAGACACCACCAATCTTGCAGAAACCACAGCATCTGCTATCCTTAATGCAGTCTTCCCAGCAGATAACCCGGATGATGACTCAACAGAACAACAGAAGATACGGGACAACCATTCCATTCCTAACACACCAGACGACATTCCCTTCGACTCAGCTGAAATACAGCAAATCTTCCGTTTTCTTCCCATAAAAAAGGCTCCGGGACCAGACGGTCTAGACTATGCAATAATAAAGGTGGCTTACACATCCCGCCCTACCTTCTTCGAGAAATATTTCAGCAAGCTCTTAAAATACCAGATCTTCCCAACTGCTTTCAAAAAAGGAGAAGTGGTCCTGTTCCTGAAGAAGCAGAGATCCCCAGATGACCCAAGCTCGTTTCGGCCAATTTGCCTACTTTCGTCTCTGGGAAAAATTTATGAAAAATTACTGGTAAACAGACTTAAATTCCATCTCCAGCAGACCAACTTCCTCAGCCCACGGCAATACGGGTTCCGAACTGGCTTGTCAACCACGCATGCCCTGAGTCATCTTAAAGATAGCATAGAACAAAATAGAGGCAGAAATCTTCACACGGCATTCATATCCCTGGACCTGCAAAGCGCCTTTGACACCCTCTGGTGGCCTGCTATAAAGCAAGCACTTAGAGAGGCACAATGTCCCAAAAACATCTTTAACATCATCACGGACTATCTACATGCACGTAGCCTCATAGTAGCCAACAACAATGGCCTCACTATCAAGCGGCAGGAAAGAGGGTGTCCACAAGGCTCTTGCGCCGGTCCGTTGCTCTGGATAATCACCTTTAACTCCATACTACAACATGAATGGCCTTTGCACACAGATATCATAGCATACGCCGACGATGTAGCCCTTCTGGTGTCTGGCCGCACAAGAGATGAACTGGAACGGAATGCCACAGAAACCTGCTCGATATTCACGGACCTATGCAATAAACTTAAGTTAACCATCTCTCGGCAAAAGTCCGCAGCCATCGTAATTCCACGTCCTGGCACAAATCCCACAAGACGTCCATGTATAAAGCTACTGGGCAAGAACTTAAAAATAACGAAGACGATTAAATATCTAGGAGTCACTTGGGATCAAAGACTCACCTGGTTACCGCACCTCCAAGAAATACGTACAAAAACATCGACCATCGCAAGGAAAGCCAGGCAATTTCAAGGGAGAAATTGGGGACAAAAAACCCCCATATCAGGAAACTATTATATCTGACAGTGGCAGAGAGAATAATTCTCTACGCAGCAGTCATATGGGCACAACCAATGAGCAGCCGAAAGACCAAGCTACTGACCACAATTCAACGGCCGTTTGCATTAAACATCTGCGGAGGTTATCGCACAACAGCGTCCAGCGCCGCCACGATACTTGCAGGCCTGCTGCCATTACACATAAAGGCAGAGGCAGAGGCTACCTATGTACGAATCACCTCATCACAGACAAGAAGCCACATATGCAGGAATTACGTTCAGAACAACAGACTATGAACTCCCTGGCAGTGTGCAACACATCCACCCTGCCATCAAAGGTAGAGGGATCCATGTCAAAATCCAACATCAGCCATCGCACTCCAGACAACGCACTTCCTCTGCGATTACACAACTGTTCACTGATGGATCAAAACATGATCAGGGAGTGGGCTGCGCGTTTGCTCACTACGAACATGGCACACTAGTAAAGGAATGGAAAGGACATCTCACTAACAGCAATAGTATTTTCCAAGCAGAGGCACTAGCAATATTGAATGCGCTACGACATGCCCTCAACCTTTCCCTTACCAATGCGACTTTTTACACGGACAGCATGTCAGTGCTACACGCACTCAGGGATCATCACCACACTTCACCCATCATCATAGATATACAGCAACTTTTACGCAATAATCATCAAGCCCGCTTTAACATGGTATGGGTGAAAGGACACTCCGACAACGAAGGGAATGACGTCGCAGACCGACTGGCTAATGAGGCTGCCAACAACATCCACGCTCAAACTATAAGAGCCCCTACCCCCGTCTCACACCTCAAGAAAACTCTGCGTAATATCTGTAAAGAAAAGTGGCAAGAAGAATGGAATAGTGGCGACACAGGGAGAAGGACGTATAACTTCCTACCAAAGGTAGACACGGAACGTCTTATAACAATAGCCCCACTGACACAGTACATAACGGGTCATGGCCCATTTCCATCTTATTTTATGCGTCATGGCATCTCAGCATCTGACAATTGTGTCTGTGGCATGCTAGGTTCTCCCGAGCACTACCTATTTGACTGCGGTCTAACAACAAACCACCACTTACCACATCCAACGAATGATAGAACACTTTACTATCGTTTCATAATCAAACACCCGCCAGCTATAAGGAGTATCTGCGCAGTTGTACAGCAAATCAACGCCCTAGGGCAAGACATTTGCGAGCCACAGTAGCATGGTACTGCAGACAATGTACTCAACGATTAGATATTCGCAGTATGTACACATTCTGTAATACACATTCCACATTCAATTTCGAGCCTCGTGTTAACATCTGCTTTCAATAGCCACCAACTTGCAGAAATAATGTTACTGACATGTTTATCAGTGTAAAGCACTGGGCACCCAATGGAATGATGTGTTATCGTAAATCGAAATATATAATATCCGTACAATGCACGAATGTAGTGTATGCAACGAAATATGTAATTCATGCAACAGAAGCCCCTAATGAAAGTATGTACATTATGTATTATGGGAACTGAGCATATTTCCGCACAGCGCTACTGCTTTACGCACACCTTACTATGTCTCATATGTTTCTTCTGTGTGTAATATTTGCATTTATGTGCTCTACGTGTTTCCATATGTATTCTATGTGTCATGATATGTATTCTCGTGTGTGTTTTTATGTCTTTATGTTACGTAATTACGAGTGTGTTTTTATGCTTTTACGTTTAATTTTGTATATCTATGTGTTTCAGCTTATATGAGTGTTTTAGTGTTTTAATGCTATCCTTTATATTCTTTTTAAGTTACTTTGTGTTATTAACAACGTCCTATGTAAAAACTACCCGACATCTAGCCCCTGTATGGCCATGTAAACTCCTGGTGCAGCCTCACGGGGCTCCAGCGAGTTGCTTCTTCGAGATAGTGGAGGACGTGGGACATATGCCTGTTTACCTATGTTATACGTCAGGCGTCCCCGTCCTCCGTCACCTGTCACCTGCATGAGCGTTATCGTGATTTTCCTTATGTGTAAATGGTTTACGAGCCTGTTGGCCTTAGAAAGTCCTACACGAAGGCATCCGCCCCCTTAGGCAGATAACTCTCGAGTGCTTTGCCAGAATAAAAAACTTTGATTTTTCTTAGTCGGCAGTTACCAATTCCTTTCCATTCAGAGACTCTTAATGCATGGTAATGCCATGACGCATTTTATGAATTGTTTGCACAACTCTATGTGAATATAATGTGTTTGTCCCAAAAGGAAGATTTCGAAAGCGGAAACCTTAAAAGACAGGGTGGAGAAGTTGAACTTCCACCTTCTATCAGATGGTATTCGAGAAGGAACCCTCAGTCATTTACGGTGCCTCTAGATAAGGAAATTCTGCTCCTCTGAAATCCATCCCTGAGAAAGAACTCTAGAAACAGTGTCTCTTAGGTATAGGGATCGGGGTAGGAAAACTTCGGTGAAACCCGTTTTATGGAAGCACTATGTACCTGTCAACAATACGTTATGGATTGAACTATGAAAAGTTTTGATAGGTACAAGTAAGGATATTCTGGCAGTGAAAAATAAGTTTTTTACCAATCTGAGTTTAATAAGCGGCGGAGATGAGTTTAATAATCTGCGTTTTTTCTATTGATTAGTATATATTTGTTTTTGTTTTGGGGAAATTGAACGTAATTAGCGGCTAAGTTTGTTAAGCATTGCATTCATTAAGCAACGAATACTGTACATATGCGTGCACACATATAAACATGAATATATACACATACATTCTTTAATGAATACGTAGAAAAATTAAAAAAAATATTAAACCATGATGTAAAAATTTCATTTCCTCTAGATCAGCGGTGCCCAATCTTGTGCTCGCCAGCCTAATTAGCTACTATGAACAGAAAATAGTTTAAAAATAATCCTTCATTTATATTTCTTAATTGTTAAAATACGGTAAGCATTTATAGTCATAAGAGATATCTTGGAAGACGTTATAAAATAATTGATTGCTGA